GGGCAATATAGGTATATACTAAGTTTCAGTCTTTCTAGTGTTAATATGGATGCAGAATCGAGATGGGAATCTGGTGAATCAATATTGAAATTGGTTCTGATTGCTCGAATACCAATTATAGGATTGTCTATTTTCTCTGGAGGGTGACCGGAATTTTAATTGAAAACTACCACAGCAATTAAAATGATTTCTATCTACACGAAGAGAGTCTCTAGAAACGATTTGGCTTTTAGATAAAAACTGGAGCATACGACGATCAGAATGGGAATAGAATTTGCAGGCAATGCGAATTTAATCAATCTGAACCGAATACCATCGCGTGACGAGGAACAGGTAATCACCGGAGCAACCTCGAAGTAATATACCACACACGATGGTTTTCGAGTTTCGAGGGCGAGCCCTCGTTGCCAGAAACCCGCAGGCCACTCTACGCTTTCATCGGCGAGTCATCTTTTTCGAAATTAACAACCAACACAAGAGAGTTTCCAAGAAATCCGTTAATTCCGACAGCAATCAACGAATTAAAACGCTGCTCGATGGGAGACAACGAGCTTAATTTAGCATCTCTATTAATTCTAAATTTAAACAGACATTTTCACTTACTCATGAATCAATTAAGGTATCTCTGATCGATCTACCAATCACTTAATCACCTGTTAAGCTTGATAATGCAATTTGATGAATGGATAACTGGTTTCCAGGATAAACGAGTGTTCAACTATTCGCCTTGAACGACTCACTGAAAACCGAGAGGATATAACGTTCAAAGTATCACTTGACACTGTTACACTTGCGCTTTAGAAGCCTGCAGGCTAAAAAATGAATACTTACGTAAATACACGACCGTTTATTATGACGTTCATTAATGCAAACGAGAAATTCAAGAAACGAGTTCACTCGGTTTTTGAACATAAATCCACTGAGTGATATGAACTTTTACAGATGAATATCGTAGGATTTGAAAATCACAGTTGATGCAGTTTAAATGGAATCACTGAAGATCACAGGAATAATAAGGCGGTTTCCTTGTTTAGGATGGGAATCTTACTCAGCGAAGATCGTGCAACGACTGAGACCATTCTGACCATCGTTCGTCCACTTGATCTTCTCGCACGTGTAACGCCTCTAGTTTATAAATGGAACGAGACGTTCCGAAAGTCTCGTTAAATGGGAGAGCTTCACGCACGCACCCATTCTTTGTTTCGTGCAACCCACCTACAACCACCCCTTAAATTCCTCGGTAGGAAACAGGGTTAATGGTAATTGCATCGAGGAATCGCGGCTCTTACGTAAAACTAGTAATTGGGCCAGTAAAAGTGGCACGAGTAGAGATAATTCGACTACTCCTTTGCTACTGCAATACTTTTTACCAGAAAACAAAATTAAACTGCAATAAGAAACTGAAGAATAATCAAACGCAGAAGCAACGTTACTGCTAGCATTCAAACTTCATGGCAATTTTATAATTCCTTTATTGAACAAATCCTCGTGTTTAGTGTTAAAAAACATTGACCAGCTCATTTTCGCATAATATTTGCATACTGTTTGTCTCGTAGAGGAAAATTACCGAATGAAAAAGCATCTATTAAACACGTATTGAAAATTTTCCTCTGCTACGACAGCCGCTTCGCGCACGTTCTATATTATATTTAGTGAGTTACGTATTACGTGCGTAATTGTTATACTAAATTCCTGTGGAGACGCCACGCATTTCTGACCGTGAATTCTTGCCAATTTGCATAACTTCGCAATTGCTGAACCGACCACTGCCAACATGTTGGAAAACATATATCATTGGGGCAACGAGCGACTTTATAACTTACACAATTCTAGATCAGATTACTACAAACATTGGAACAATGTATAGTTAATTTAGTTAAATTAGTATTTCTGTTTTTTTGATTCAGGCAGAGCGAATGGTCTATAGAAGCTTGCGATAGATTCGCAGAGCTGGCTTGGGTGGCTCAGTGGAGGATCCTTGTAGCCAAAGTTAGGAGGTATAAGGAAAGGACTGTTAATTGTAGGAGATCGCGTCGCGAGGGCTCGCCCATCCCCTGCGTCGACCTCTTCGACAAAAACGAAGACAAGGTATTATTTTACAAAGGAATTTTATATAAAAGAATATAAGGATGTACAGGCTGTACTTAAATAATGCTTGCATGTTGAATTTGGTATTATAGATTCCTATTACTATTAAAAAACTACTTGTAATAGGTAATAGTATCATCTACAACTTTTAC